TTTATAAGGATAATTTATCCATATTTCTTTTTTATTTATATCATATAAGTTTTTTCACCTTGTTATTAGGTGCGCAACTAAGTTCCCGCTGTTTTTCAAGAGATGGCTCCAGTAGTAAGTGCTGGTCGATTGTGACTTAACCAAAACGTCATGAACCAAGCTTAGACATATGGTAAACAAACCGCTTTGACACATTAGTGATTTTGTTTTTGCGTCATATACTTTTGGTTGTGTGAAAATGTCTTATTTTGTGCCAAATAATCGTCATTTGCGGGAAGTGTTGCTTTTCTTCTTTCATTCGAAGAAAACGGCGGCTGAAGCGTATCGAGAACTCCAAAAAGTTTACGGAGATGCTGCTCTAAGTGAAACAACGTGTCGTGATTGGTTCCGTCGCTTCAAAGACGGTGATTTCGATGTTGACGATCGTTCGCGTGAAGGAAGGCCAAAAACCTTCGAAGACGCTGAATTGGAGGCATTGCTCGATGAGGATCCGTGCCAAACGCAAAAAGAGCTTGCTTCAGCATTAGGAGTTACCCGCCAAGCCATTTCGCCAATCGATTGCATGCGTTGGGAATGATTCAAAAACAAGGAACTTGGGTTCCTTATGATTTGAAGCCAAGAGACGTTGAGCGTCGTTTTTCGCCTGTGAACAACTGCTCCAGCGGCAAAAAAGGAAGGGTTTTCTTCATCGCATCGTTACGGGTGATGAAAAATGGATTCATTACAGCAACCCAAAACCGAAGAGAACAAAATCATGGGGACTGCCCGGTCATGCTTCTACGTCGTCGGCTCGGCCGAATATTCACTCTGCGAAGGTTTTGCTGTGTATTTGGTGGGACCAGGGCGGTGTTATTATTATGAGCTGTTGAAACCGAACGAAACCATCACTGGGGAACGGTATCGAACTCAATTGATGCGATTTAGCCGAGCATTGCGCGAAAAGCGGCCACAATATGAGCAGAGGCACGAAAAAGTGATTCTACAGCATGACAACGCTCGGCCTCACGTTGCCAAACCCGTTAAAACCTACTTAGAAACGCTCAAATGGGAAGTCCTACCCCACCCGCCATATTCCCCAGATATTGTGCCGTCCGATTATTACTTGTTCCATTCGATGGCACATGGTCCGGCTAATCAGCAATTCCGCTCATATGAAGACATCTCAAAATGGCTTGATTCGTGGATAACTTCAAAAGACGAACACTTCTACCGTGACGGTATTCGAGCTCTGCCAGAAAGATGGGAAAAAGTTGTCGCTAGCGATGGGCAATATTTTGAATGATTCATTTGTAACAATTTTTTCACAATAAAGTTGCATTTTCACCAAAAAAACAGCGAGAACTTAGTTGCGCACCTAATATTATTTGACTTTCATTTATTTTCATTTTAACTACACATCACATCACAATATATTTACACATGTACGTTTTATTTACTTTTTCAGTTTACTACTCCAGCAGTGTAAAACTTAAGCGTCGTCTACAATGACAGTAAGCAGTAAGAAGTCTGTGCTTTAGCCCTAAAGCGTCGTCTACAATGGCAATAAGCAGTAAGAAGTAAGCGTAAGCGGTAAGAAATAAACCAATCACAGTCGATTATGACAGAAATAATCAACTGTGGTTGGTCCATTTTTTACTGTTCACGCTTACTTCTTACTGCTTACTGCTATTGTAGACGACGCTTAAGAAATGGATCAACCACAGTTAATTATTTTTGTCATAATCGACTGTGCTCTGGCCTTATTTCTTACCGCTTACTCTTACGTCTTACTATTTTCTGCCATTGTAGACGACACTTTAAGGGCAGAGCACAGACTTCTGCATAACGCATGTATGCGGTAAAACTCCGGCGAATGCTGCAGTGACCAATCAGAAGACAGGCGCATGCCGGAGCTGCAGCAGGACCTGCACCTGTTTCCTGATTGGTCATCGCAGCATTTGTCGGAGTTCTACCGCATATATGGAGTCTAAGGTGTTCCAAAATTCACTGCCAGTACTGAAAATATATGGTTTGTGTCACGTATATTATAGATTTTCAGTGCTAGCAGTGAATATTGGAACGCAGCCTAAGCTCTAAGCCAGCGGCATAGCGGTGCTTGTTTTCGTGCTGAATTGTTTGCTGGATGAAAATACTGCGTTCGCGATTGGTACATTTCCGAAGATGGATGAAAATGCACCAATCAGAACGCAGTATTTTCATCCAGCAAGCAATCCAGCACGAAAACAAGCACCGTGTACCGCTGGTTTTACTAATTCGCAGAAATTAAAATTGTGTTGTCCAGGGGGTTTTCGTTCGTACCAGCATTTTCCCATCTAGTTTTCGATAAAATATCGTGTAACTCGCGTTCTCGCAGATCGCAGACGAACGACGCGATACGCGAGGCGCAACGCGTGATATCCAATGAGCGTTGCGTGTCGAAGAAACTCATTGGATATCACGCATGCATGTCACATATAGGGTGCGTTCGGGGAGCGCGCAAACGTTAACGCTACCGAATACTACAAACTCTGTTCAGAGAGCTAATAATGCCGTGTTCCAAAATTCACCGCCAGCACTGAAAAGTTATAGTTTGCGTGACACAAACTATATATTTTCAATACTGGCGGTGAATTTTGGAACACGGCATAAGTCGGTAGTATTTTAGCGGTAATATGAAAAGAGAATGGGGCAAAATAAAAAAAACGCAGTGTTAGCTATTTTGACACATACAATGCGTGATTTATTAGAAACATCATCGTCTTCCGATGAAGAATTAGAATTAATTACAAGGTGTATAAGAAGACGTAAAAACGTGTCCAGAGTGGAGAATTATGTTCAGCTAATAGTGCCAGTACTTTAGTGACCAGCAATTTAAGGCTCATTTTAGGTATTGCAATATGAACAGTAATATAAAACATATTAGTTGACTTACTTAAAGATGTAACATATAATAATTAATTAATGCATGATTTAGAATATCTCCTGCAACATTTGACCACATTTTATCCATCATTGAGCCAAATTTACATAGAGAAAGAGTCGGAACATTAATAATTGATCCACACATAAACAATTTTTATCAGCATTGTGGAGATTAGCCACAGCAGATTCTTTCAGGTAACATTATACCCAGATAGCCAAACCTGAGCGAACAAATTCCGCGCAAGAGTTGACATCAAGTGTTGATGGCTGGAACTGATACGTCAGGATATTGTGAAGGATCATCTTCAAGTGAACGCTTTAATACAAGTAAATATATGTATATATATGTGATTCTATCTCATAAACTATGAGATATAACCTCAATCTCAACTTTAGATTAACATCAATTCTGGAAAAAGAAGAAGGAAAGAAGAAGAGAAAATTAACATCATGTTTTACAATAATAAATAGTAAGATCACAATAATAAATAGTAGGATTTACAATAATAAATATGTTAGGAATTATATTCTGATAAGCCAAATAACAAATCACCATGTATTTTCTGTAAAGGACATAACAATGCACTGGGCTGTTGAAAGCATTAGTGGACAGGGAGGCCCTGGACATCTCCCTGGAGGCTGCCACCTGGCCACAGCAGAAGGAGGGGCAGGACCTTGACTCTGAGGTTATGGAAATTATGGAAGTGATCGCACATGCGTGTGACGAAGCCATGCCCAGAGTCAGGTCCTGCCCGAAAAGGTCCGCCTGCTGGTGGACCGACACCATAGCCGACTTCAGGCAAAAGTCGGTCCACCTCAGGCGGGCCTTCAGAAGGGTTCGCAACAACCCTGACTCGGACCCCGAGGATGTTCTGGCTGCTCGAAGGGAGTTTTGCCTCGCGGTAGCATCCCTGAGGGACGCGATTGGGGCGGCCAGAGGTAAAGGGTGGGACACCCTCCTCCTCTCGCTAGACGTGGATCTGTGGGGGCGTCCATACAAGATGGTCATGAATAAATTGAAGCCATGGACGCCCCCGCTAAGGGAGACGCTCGACCCCCGGTTCCTAGAGCGGGTCATGGAGACCCTCTTCCCGATCAGGAGAGGGGACTCCATAGGCCCGTATGTTGCCCCACCCCTGAACAACAAGGGGTGATACGGGGGGTCACTGAGGAGGTGGTGGCCGGGGCCATCAAGCGGGTCAAAAGCCGTAAGGCGCCAGGACCCGATGGAATTCCCGGTCGCGTCCTTACCCCTAGCCTCGGGGTACCTAAGCGGCAGGCTCGCAAAAATTTTTTCGCGAGCCCTGAGGGAACACAGGTTCCTCCCAGTCTGAGGGAGGGCCAATGTGGTCTTCCTCCATAAAGAGGGCAAACCGGAGGACACCCCCTCCGCATACCGGCCCATATGTCTCCTAGACGAGGCGGGCAAGCTCTTCGAGCGCGTCATAGCTGCCCGCCTCGTGGAGCATATGTCCCGGGAGGGTCCGGACCTTGATGACGGCCAATACGGCTTCCGGGAGGGACGTTCCACCGTAGACGCGATTCAGCGTCTGCGATCCCTCTCGGAGGCCATTGTGCAGGAGGGCGAGGTGGCGGTGGCGGTGTCTCTTGACATCGCCAACGCGTTCAACACCCTGCCCTGGGGTAGGTTGGTAGAGGCCATGAGCGGCTACTTCCGATTCCCACCCTACCTCGTGGCCGTCGTCGAGGATTACTTCCGGGGTCGGCGTCTAGCCTGGAGGGATGCCGACGGCAAGGTATGCGAGAGGAGCATGAGTTGCAGGGTTCCACAGGGGTCTGTTTTGGGCCCCCTCCTGTGGAACCTCGGTTACAACTCTGTCCTCCAAACTGCCCTCCCCCTCGGCAGTAGCATCATCTGCTACGCGGATGACACGCTCATTCTAGCCGGGGGGAAAGACTGGGGAGAAGCCGTGAGAGCGACCAATTTTGCGGTGGCATGCGTCGTGCGCTCCATTCGCGGACTGGGTCTGGTGGTGGCAGAAAGAAAAACTGAGGCGATATTCCTCCATCGCAGGAGAATGAAGCCACCCCAGGCCTAGATCAGAGTAGGAAAGGTCAGGGTCTCATTAGAGGCCCAGATGAGATATCTGGGCCTCACTTTGGACGGCACCTGGTGCTTCAAAGAACACTTCAATCGCCTAGTCCCCCGGTTGAAATCAGTCTCGGGCTGTGTCAGTAGACTCATGCCGAGAACCGGGGGACCAGATGGGAAGGCGCGTCGCCTCTATGCTGGGATACTTAATTCGGTGGCCCTGTACAGGGCACCGATATGGGCAGAGGCCCTGGCCGTCAGTCGCCCGATGCAAGCAATCCTGCGCAGGGTGCAAAGGGCGCTGGCGGTCAGGGTAGCGCGCTGCTACCATACTGTGTCCCACGTGGCGGCGGCGGTCCTGGCGAGCATGCCCCCTTTGGAGCTCATGGCCCTGTCGTACAAGAGAATGTACGACAGGAAGCGGGAGCTCCTGCGTACAGGGGGGCGGAAGAACCGCTCGCCAGGGCAATAAGAAGTATGAAGCACCAGACTCGACAGGTCCTCCTTCAGAGATGGCAAGGATTCTTGGCTAATGCCAGGTATGGAAGGAGGACTGTCGAGGCCGTCCGGCCCTTTCTGCCAGAATGGGTAGGAAGGGCCCATGGGACCCTGACCTTCAGGATGGCACAGGTGCTCACCGGGCATGGATGCTTCGGTGAGTACCTGTGCCGTATAGGTAAGGAGCGCACGACGTCATGTCACCACTGCGGACATGACCATGACTCCGCGCAGCATACACTTCAGGAATGCCCCGCCTGGAGTGCTGAGCGCGGAGTCATAGTCAGGGCTCTGGGTCAGGACCTTTCGCTCCCTGGGATAGTTGGGGCGATCCTAGGGAGCGAAAAGAAGTGGGATGCATTCTCCTCCTTCTGCGAATCAGTAATGAAGCAGAAGGAGGAGGCAGAAGAGATGCGTAGAATGGCGGAGGGTCGGGGAAGGAAACGGAGGCGAAGAGAGAGGCATCGCCAATGGAGAGGAGGGTGGAGCAGGAGTAGGGAGGGGGACGCAGATTCCTCCGAGGAGGATGAGTTAAGGAGGATGGTGGGTCCGCCACCACCTCCACCTCCCCCTCCCCCTCCTGCTCCCCGCCGGTATTAACAAGGAGGACTCATGGGGGTCACAATGCCCCCAATAGAGTCCAGGGAGGACAAAGGATGGGTAGAAATAAGGGGGTGCCGGTGGTGGTGTTACAGCGGCTGACTCCCATGATGGTGGCGGCGGCGCTGCTGACCGCCTCCCCCGCGGTAGCGATAGCGGTGACACCGCCACCGCCACTCCCTGATGCCCTTCCTACGGCAGCAGCAACAGGAGATGGAGGCGGGTGAGGAGCGCGGCTCAGGCCGAGGCCCCACACCCACAAACCACAGACTCCCCCCAAAAAGGGAGTCGGATAGGAATAAGGGGGGGAGAGGGTGTCGATGATGATTTATCATCGAACAAAACAAAACTCCTCTCCCCCCTGACCGTAGATCCGACATTTTAGTCGGATATGCGGGAGGGAGGTCATTAGGACCCCCCACTCCATTCCTCTGCGGAGGTGGGGTGAGCCCGGCGGCTAGGGGAGTATATTTTCCCGTAATCGCCGGGCGGGAGGGTAGGGCATCGGGCGGGGACACCCGGTGCCCCAACCAGCCCTCACAACGTAGGGTGGCTGATACGGTGGGTCAGTCAGCCACATAACATGCATTGGCGGCGCCTCGTCTGGTCAGGAACGGTGGTTGAAGCGGGCTTCGGCCGGCTTCCCCCTTCCTGACTGAAGAGGCGAGGCGTGAGGGGTGGGAAAGGGGAACGGTGGTCGAAGCGGGCCCTCGGGCCGGCTTCCCCCTTCCCCAGGGGGAGCGGTGGTTGAAGCGGACCTTCGGGTTGGCTTCCCCCTCCCCCACCCCATCCCTCAGGGACAGAAGGTGCAACACCCGGACTCGGGGCCCCGATTGCAGTTACATGGCACCGGAGTCCCGACCCAAGTTCCTTCGTAGCGCCACCCGGGGAGGTTTTAGCCGGTAGGAGTCCGGCATAACCCTGACCCTTCCCCGAGGGTCAGGGTATCCATGATGGATTTCCTCCTCGTAAAAAAAAAAAAATGTTGAAAGCATTAGACGAATTCAATATCGAAGGTACGACCAAAATTGCGGTGTTAGAATCCTCCATAGAGCGATTAGCGTCTGTTGCTGAAACCGAACCAAATGAGAAGAAGAAGACTGAGTTGTTGTCCATCGTTGAGAGCTATAAGGAGCAATTAAATATGTTCTTGGTGGTCTTTCGCAAGGCTAATGTCGTTAGCACTTGTGTCATAGATAAATTAGCTAGGGAGAATCTGCTCTTCTTGCTAGAGGAGTGGCAAAATGCTCTTTGTAAATGACGAGACAAATAAAGTTTGATAGATTCTTCTAGCCAAATCACAGACAAATTATTCAGCATCGTAAGGCATCTAGCTGAGACAACTCAGAGAAGTGCTGATATATTGGACATATTGTGTACGTACTATATTTTTTAATTATTTCATAAAAATATTGAATTTTTTAGATATCTATCATGCAGAATGAAGCAGCTATTATCCTATTTTGAATATCTTGAACATATGAGATGTGAGAATAGAAAAATATTTAACAGAAAATACATGGTACTGAAACAATTCTCTTATAGAAGTAAAGTTTTATCTTCTAAGTAAACTAAGCTTTAAAATCTAAATCCTTTATCATTTTTTCCTAAGTTATTTTTTAAATAAAATGGTTTAATTAAAAATGTAACAAAATTTATTAAAATGTTTTTTTGTATCATAACTGATTTTGAATCATTCTTTATTATAGATGATTGTATTTCTTTTAATAACTGTTATCGAAAAATAAACTCAGAAACTGCATTCCATTAAAAAAAACAAAGATGACCTTCAAATCTTGAGAATCACCTGAAAAAAAACGTTACCGCCGCAAGGATTACTTCTGCACCATGTAATTTCTCTCTTTGTTATTAGGTGTGCAACTAAGTTCCCGCTGTTTTTCAAGAGGTGGCTCCAGTAGTAAGTGCTGGTCGATTGTGACATAACCAAAACGTCATGAACCAAGCTTAGACATGGTAAACAAACCGCTTTGACACATTAGTGATTTTGTTTTTGCGTCATATACTTTTGGTTGTGTGAAAATGTCTTATTTTGTGCCAAATAATCGTCATTTGCGGGAAGTGTTGCTTTTCTTCTTTCATTCGAAGAAAACGGCGGCTGAAGCGTATCGAGAACTCCAAAAAGTTTACGGAGATGCTGCTCTAAGTGAAACAACGTGTCGTGATTGGTTCCGTCGCTTCAAAGACGGTGATTTCGATGTTGACGATCGTTCGCGTGAAGGAAGGCCAAAAACCTTCGAAGACGCTGAATTGGAGGCATTGCTCGATGAGGATCCGTGCCAAACGCAAAAAGAGCTTGCTTCAGCATTAGGAGTTACCCGCCAAGCCATTTCGCCAATCGATTGCATGCGTTGGGAATGATTCAAAAACAAGGAACTTGGGTTCCTTATGATTTGAAGCCAAGAGACGTTGAGCGTCGTTTTTCGCCTGTGAACAACTGCTCCAGCGGCAAAAAAGGAAGGGTTTTCTTCATCGCATCGTTACGGGTGATGAAAAATGGATTCATTACAGCAACCCAAAACCGAAGAGAACAAAATCATGGGGATTGCCCGGTCATGCTTCTACGTCGTCGGCTCGGCCGAATATTCACTCTGCGAAGGTTTTGCTGTGTATTTGGTGGGACCAGGGCGGTGTTATTATTATGAGCTGTTGAAACCGAACGAAACCATCACTGGGGAACGGTATCGAACTCAATTGATGCGATTTAGCCGAGCATTGCGCGAAAAGCGGCCACAATATGAGCAGAGGCACGAAAAAGTGATTCTACAGCATGACAACGCTCGGCCTCACGTTGCCAAACCCGTTAAAACCTACTTAGAAACGCTCAAATGGGAAGTCCTACCCCACCCGCCATATTCCCAGATATTGCGCCGTCCGATTATTACTTGTTCCGTTCGATGGCACATGGTTTGGCTAATCAGCAGTTCCGCTCATATGAAGACATCTCAAAATGGCTTGATTCGTGGATAACTTCAAAAGACGAACACTTCTACCGTGACGGTATTCGAGCTCTGCGGGAAAGATGGGAAAAAGTTGTCGCTAGCGATGGGCAATATTTTGAATGATTCATTTGTAACCATTTTTTCACAATAAAGTTGCATTTTCATAAAAAAAAAACAGCGAGAACTTAGTTGCGCACCTAATAGATAAATTATTATTTATTATTATCGTCTCACTATATATTGTCTGTTTAAGAATAATTATTACGATTCTACCGATTTTGCTGTTGTTTCAGTAACATCCTCTGACAAGGTTGATAACACGAGAAACGAGCTGGAGCATCAAGAGCAAGTGATAGTGCAATCGGGAAAGCTTTTAGGAAAATATGCGAAGTCACAGATGAAGTATTACTTGCATTGGCCTTCGCGTTCTTCTTCGCCTACGTGTTTTACATTTCACAAAAGAAACTGTTCTGAAAGTCCTTTGTATGTGATATTAATGAAATGGATTGATCATTTACGGTGATATTGCGATTGTAACATATTGCGCAGGAACTCTCACGATAAGTGACATAGAGAATGTATGTACTATTTAAGAGAAGAAATCGGGTGAGTTTTTACAAGTATTTTAATGGCTTTACACGTGTGTGGACAAATTGCTCGTTAATCTCTGAAGGACGTTTTTATTCAGTCACCAAATCTTATTAAATAAACTCAACTGATTGTATATACTGGTATCCTGTAAGAAGATAAAATATTTATTAAATTTCAAAATATATACACGTTTCTACTATTCATTATCACTAAAATAACGATGTCGCATCGCGAGACGCTATGGAAATTAATTGCTCGTACATTTTTACAACCGCTTATGAATTCCTCCCTGGTGACTATTCCGTCTCTGTCTGTGTCCATCTCCTTGAAGAACTTGCCCACTTGGATGTTAACTGCGGGCTGAATGGTCTGCGCGTCCTGCTCCATCTCCATCTCATAAATCGCGAATATTATGACCGACATTTCTTGCTTCGTGATGCAACCGTCTCTATCAAAATCGTAGAATCTGATGAAAACTAGGTCCAGAGAGTATTGCATGTTATGATCTTCGAGATTATTGACTTCAATAAGTATCAGTGATCAAATATTTAATAAATATCCAATAATTAAGTAAAATTTCTATTGCGACTAATGTTAACATTTTTAAATGTCACTTTTTAACTTTGAATATTATTCCGAGGAAAAATGATTATATATATAAATTTTCTCTGCACAACCATCATTAAACAGCAAGAAAAAGGTAAAGTACAAAGTGGTCAGTCTGTGCCCGAAGAAGTTACAGAAAATCAAACCGAACTTCTTAACTGACACGAAATAAAAATCTTTCAGGTTGCGCTCGAAAATGAACCTGGAATCAGACAGT